AAAATTAGTTTCTTAATCTAGATCCTCTCTTTCTTTTTCTTTTTTTTGAGACAGTCTCAAGCTGTGGCTGAGGCGTCACAGCTCACAGCAACCTCAAATTCTTGGGCTCAAGCGATTCTCTTGCCTCAGCCTCCCAAGTAGCTGGGACTACAGGCGTCCGCCACGACGCCCGGCTACTTTGTTGTTGTTGCAATTGTCATTGTTGTTTTAGCTGGCCTGGGCTGGGTTCAAACCCACCAGCCTCGGTTTACGTGGCCGGCACCCTACCCACTGAGTATAGGCACTGCCTACATCCTCTCTTTCTTGATTAAATAAACATTTATCAGCTTTTAGTCAGTAACTTAAAATCTACTTCTTCCTACTCATTTCCTTCACATAAGGGGATTGGGGTAGTTGCTGAATACATCTGGAACAGACTCCTGGAGCAAGAAAGGAGATTCAGGGCTCGGCACCTGTAGCTCAGCTGCTAGAGCGCCATCCACATACATCGGAGCTGGGGGGCTCAAACCCAGCCCGGGCCTGCCAAACAACATTGTCAACTACAACCAAAAAACAGCCGCCGTTGTGGCGGGCGCCTATAGTCCCAGCTACTTGGGAGGCTGAGGCAAGACCATGGCTTAAGCCCAAAAGCTGGAGGTTGCTGTGAGTTGTGGCCTTAAGCTAATAGATCCTCCTGCCTCGGCCTCCCTGAATGCTAGGATTGTCCGAGTGAGACACCACGCCCAGCCTTATAATGTGCTATTAAACATGTTAAAATTCTACAACTCTGACTTTATAATCCGTGGATGAAATTCTGAAATAACAAAAAAATTAACGTGAAACATAAAACCTATACAATCAAACCCTGAGAAGACGCTTCAACCAGAGCAATTAGCTGCGATAATAATGAAAAATAATAATGATAAAGGTCTTAAAAGAAAGCAAATGTTTAATCACTTCACAGAAGACCCCGAACTCCAGAATATTCCGAAACTAAATTGTTCTCTAACCAAAGAAGTGCAATCTACCATATCCGAAAACCACTCCCTGCTCAGAGCCCCCAGATCCAAGCCCGAGCCTCAGACCTCACCCTCCGCCCCACCTCCAGCGCTCTTCCCCCAGCCCCTCGCCGCGCTCTCATCTTCTGTGTTCATCCTTCTCCTTTTTTTATTTCTTTAAACCAAGAGTACCAGAAAAGGGGCTCCCTCCCACCCTGGCCGCCCGGACGTTCGCTTGGCTCAGAGCCGCGGAAAACTTACTCCAGGCAGGCAGCGCTCCCCTTATGGGACCCTCTGGCGTGGGGACCCTCCCGCTTTCCCATCCACGCGCTCAGCGGACCCAGCCCCTGCGACCCACACGGCAGGTGCGGGACAGGCAGCCCCCCGGCTGAGCCAGCGCCGGAACCGCGCCTCAGTCACCCCGTGGCCTCCGCCGGGACGCCGTGGCGACCCCCACCCGCGGCTCCGGCGCGTCCCGCCATCTCCGTACCTGGAGCTCCGAGCCGGGCACTGCCTGCCCAGCGCGCCCGCTTCCCGCAGCGGCCGGGCTGGGAGCGGCAGCCGGGCCCGGAGGGGGAGCGCTTCCGGGGTCAGGGTGCGAGGTGCGGCGAAGGCGGAGGGGCCTCCGGCCCGTCTGCCGGGGACTGCGTGCGAAGCGGCTCTCGCCATTTTTGTTGAGGGTAGAGGCTCTGTATCTAGGGGCGGACGAGAGGACTGGGCGGGATACCCGCGTTCTTTAGAAGTCTGGGAGGAATGAATGGTTGTCGCAGTGACACGAGGCGGGTGGCGCCCAGGCCGTGCCAGGCCTACCGGGAGGACGTGCCGCCCCTTCTGCGTTGCCGCCCTGGGGATGTTGGTGGGACGGGCAGTGCGGAGGCGAGGGCTGGAGAAACAAGAGGGGCCAGGGAAGCCGGCGGGAGGGAGACCAGGGCACTGCCCACGCTGCTGCCTGTGTCAACCCCAGAACCACTTTTAGACTCAGCGAGCCCTCCTTGTTGCGCTGCTCCACCGTGAGCATTTCACAGACCTAAGAGTGATACAGGGTTCCCCCTTTCAGGAATGGACAGAAACCCCTCATTTCCTAGACCTGGACAATTTCATGTAAGTTTCCTAGACCTGGACAATTTCTTGAAGGGAAGGGCTCACTCGCTGACCTTGCCCCAGAGGAAAGTACTGTACTCATTCATTAATGCGCTCATTTACCTTGCCCAAGCAGAAGGGACTCTCCGTTCATTTGTTACCAAGTACTACCAAATATAAGGACAAGGGACCCGTGCGGCTATATACACCCGCCTACAAAGGACTCAGGTGCAGATTTGCTGATCTGGGTCTTTCGCTGTGCCAGGAGCTCTGGTACTTTTTCTGTATTCTTTTGTGTCTAATAAATCCTATCGTACTGATACCCGAAAAGTGGCGCTCCAGCCAGCTCAGCTGAGCAGGGCCTGGGGAGGGGACCTGCCACCTGGTCTTGGTGACAGCAGCAGGCAAAGTAACCGGCAGGCTGGACCGACTGGGGGAGCTTTCCTCCCCCAGAGGCTCCAGTAGAGAGGCGCTAGAGGACCGGCCAATCAAGGGAAAACACTGGTGCCCATCTCTGATTGGGCCATTTTCAATCCTGCTCCTGATTGGTCCATTTTATAGACCAATCACACCTATATAAGGACCCTGAGCAGAGGACCTGGGGACAGATCATCGCAGACCTTCAAGGAAGATAAAGCAGAAGAAGAAGACTGCATACTGTCCAAGAAGAAGGAGGGTGCTGTGGGACTTCTACTGCTGATCCTGCTCTACAAAGAGGCTTGGCTCTTTGGAGTGGTTGTAACACTTCTACTGCTGATCCTGCTCTACAAAGAGGCTTGGTCCTTTGCTGATCTTACCCTGCAAAGAGGCTTGGTCCTTTATAAGAGCTGTAGCTGTAGCACTTCTGCTGCTGATCCTGCCCTACAAAGAGGCTTGGCCCTTTGCTGATCCTGCCCTGCAAAGAGGCTTGGTCCTTTATAAGAGTTGTAGCACTTCCGCTGCTGATCCTGCCCTACAAAGAGGCTTGGTCCTTTGGGGTTTTTTTGTTGTTTTGTTTTTTTTGAGACAGAGCCTCAAGCTGTGCCCCTGGGTAGAGTCCCGTGGCATTGCAGCTCACAGTAATCTCCAACTCCTGGGCTCAAGTGAGTCTCCTGCCTCAGCCTCCCAAGTAGCTGGGACCACAGGCACCTGCCACAATGCCTGGCTATTTTTTGGTTGCAGACATCATTGTTGTTTGGCGGGACCAGGCTGGATTTGAACCCGCCACCTTAGGTGTATGTGGCCAGCCACTTGAGCCACAGGTGCCCAGCCAAGGCTTGGTCCTTTGTAAGAGCTGTAGCACATCTATCCTGCTCTACAAAGAGGCTTGGTCCTTTGTAAGAGCTGTAGCACATCTATCCTGCTCTACAAAGAGGCTTGGCTCTTTGTAAGAGTTGTTTTCATAAGAGTTGTAACACTTGCATCCTGCCCTGCAAGGAGGTTTGGTTCTTTGAGCTGTAAATAAAACCTCACTGTTCATTCTATGGTCTGTTGATTCATTCATAGAATTGTCGAGACCAAGAGCCTGGAAATCCAGTGTTAGAAATCCGATATCATTACCACTGAGCCACGGTCTATTGGCTCATTCTTAGAATCCCCAAGACCAAGGACCTACTGAAGAAATTTGGTAACAGTAGTTCCTAGCCTTTTGAGAGACCTAGGACGGTTGTGGGTCTCGTGAAAACTGTGGAGTTTTTCCCCCAGAAAAATACACATAGACATGCTCATATGTTATTAAAACAAAAAGTCTACAATTTCAAATGCTCAAAACCAATCCATGGATCTCAGATTAAGAACTTCTCCTGGAGACCCTCAGCCCTTAAACGAATGAGTATTAAGGATTTCAACCGTGCATAGAAGGCGTACTTATTATTGGTATCAATTTCACTTTACTTTTTTCAGTGTTTCATGCTGACATGGCAAACCAAAGAATTGTGAATGTGGCTACTTACTAGATGGGATAGCCACTGCTACTAGGTAGTAAACTAATAAAGGAATGAGGTAGGGAAAATTATAACACCCCCACCCCATGCTGTTCTATGTGTCTTCCTTAACCTAAATACTCCATCAGACTGGGGATGTAAGAATGCCAGATGCTGAGCATATTTGTGGTAAAAAACGAAAATAATATTGCAAGGCTAGCTACAACATGAGAGCGAGTGTTACTCCTGCTATCTAAGGAACAAGAATGAGCAATCCTTTCTGTTTTCAAAATCCCATTTAGACAAATGGAAAATAGGGAGAATGGCGATACCCATGTGTGATGGGAATAGATGAGTAATAACTAAAAATGAGTTCTAGTGAAAATATCGCACTTAAAAAGCAAAGGGAGCTCCTAAGAGCTGAATTTGTAAGGCTATTTTAGTTTATTTCTCCAATTTTCTTTTTGCTGCCTCCTTTGTATTTGCTGCAACTTCTGAACATTCAGCCTAATGGGGAGAGCAGTAAAGGTGATAATTACCGCTTAAAGTAACTTTCCTGAATACGTTATCTCCTTTAATTCCCCCCCAATAAACATTAAATGAGAGATACTGTTACACAGTAGGGTACAGAATTTACTCTTTAACAGGAGAATAAGAAATGTCCTGTTGCATTTATTTCCAAATCAAATGTAAGTTATTCCAAGTCACTCTTCTTCTGGGATAGTGGAGTACTGTGCTCTATCTTAGCCTTTGTTGGGTATATTATTAAGATGATGTAAGCTACAAATAAAGTGAACAAATAAAGACAGGGGACTCAATGTCTTCTGCTATCCTGTATGGGGGCGGGGGAGAAGGGAGGGGGAAATAAAGCCCAAATTAATTCTATGGTCCTTTACTCCCCCCAAATAACCAAAGCTGTCAAGTAATACTAAGCCAGAGAGTTGAGTTCATGGAATAATACCAGTTGTTTCTACTGTCCAAATGTAATACTTGCTACAGCAGCCATTAATGAATTTAGGGGATCTTATATGCATAACATCAAAGCAATGCTGGCTGGGCACCCCTAGCTCAGTGTTTAGGGTGCCAGCCAGTGGGTTCCAACTGGCCAGGCCTACTAAACAAACAAACAACAACAACAAAAAAAAAGCCAGGTGTTGTGGCAGGTACTTATAGTTCGAGCTATTAAGGAAGTTGAGACAAGAGAGTCATTTGAGCCCAGGAGTTTGAGGTTGCTGTGAGCTATGACTTCACAGCACTCTATGGAGGGTGACAAAGTGAGTCTCTGTCTCAATAAAAAAGTCAAAGCAATGCTGTGGAGTCAGACTGCCTGGTTTTGAATTCTTTCTCTGCTATTTACTAGATGCATGGTTAAAGGAGGGAAGAAAAAAAAACATTTTCGTATACTTTCAAACTTCTGACATCAAACATGTAGAGGTTTTTTCCCCACATAACAATTTTCTAATTAGCTGCAGACACCAGCTGAGTATCCTACAATTCGATTCAATTCAATACTATCTACCTGGAGTGCATCAGACCTCTTAAGGGCTCCGCCCCACAAGAATGCCCATACTTCCAATGCCATTTGCAAGTTCCAGAGTGTCACCTGTACTTCCCACTAACCAGCTGTAAACCAGGGACAACCACAATCCCCTCCTCACATGCAATAATTTGCTATAATCGCTTACAAAGCACAGGAAAAAAATTGCTCATGTTTACTGCTTACAAAGGGTGTTACAAAGGATACACATGAAAAAAGGTCCTGTGTACAGGAGCTTCTGTTGCCATGGAGTTGGGATATGGCACCTTTCCAGCATGTGGATGCATTCACCAACTCAGAAGCTGTTCAAACCCCATGCTTAAGGAGTTTTCATGGAGGCTTCATTCACATAAAAGCATTATGGATTATTAACTAGATCTCCAGCTCCTCTCTCTTCCGTATAGGATGATGGACCATGGGACTGAATATTCTAAGCCTCTAATTATGGTTTGATTTTATTTTTTTCTGAGATAGTCTTACTCTGTCACCCTGAGTAGAGTGCTGTGGCATCACAACTCACAGCAACCTCAAACTCCTGGGCTCAAGCAATTCTCCTGCCTCTGCCTCCCAAGTAGCTGGAACTACAAGCATCCGCCACAACGCCTGGCTAGTTTTTGGTTGCAGCTGTCATTGTTGTTTAGTGGGCCCAGGCTAGATTCAAACCTGCCAGAACAGCATTTTTCTTACTAGCCAAAAAGCAGAACAACCTAAATGTCCATTGACTGAGGAATGGAAAGATAAAATGTGGTATATCCGTATAATATTTTATGGCCATAAAAAGGAATGATGTACTAATAAATGCTACTGTTGAGGTCCAGGGAGTTGTCTGGATGGGCAGTTTGGAACATACACAAAGACGAAGAAAAGGAGACCAGACACGTCAATAGTAAGGCAAGCTGAAACAAAGTGTATTGAGGAAGAGAAAGATAGGTTTACAGAGCAAGATAGATTTGCCATAGATAAAGAAAAGCTCCTTTGTCGTGACAAAAAAGGCCGCAGTTATGGCCAGGGGTTCTGTTTTTTACTGTCTGGAATTGGCCCACCTCATGGTTCAGAGCCCACTTGGAAACCAAACTCTTACTGTGCATGCGGACTTCCCATGAGCCTTTGTGAAAACTCATTGGGGGCTGTGAACCACAATATAGATTTAA